ATCACAATTACAAATGTACATGGGGATCATTCAGTTTCTCTCAAATCTCTACTGATGGTTAAAAAACGTGGAAAACGGTTGAAATAAGGAAAAACAAGTTCAGCATTTACTTTCCAGCATTGGTTCAGAGGCAAGTCTCTGGTTCTCACCGTCGCCCCCTCTGGCTCCATCTGCTGGCGTGGGCGAGCGCCGTTCCGGGGCGAGAGCCTCCCGAGCCTTCACGCCGAGTACGTCCCACCTCTCCGGGAGGATCCCCTTCTTAAACAGTTGCGAAGACGCCCAAGAGGAGACCACCACGGACCCCAGAGAGGACAGCATGCAGATGGTTTTGAACGGCCAGCGCTGGACGTGGACCCCGTCCACCCAGGCGCACCCCGGGAACCTCAGGACGGCGGGAAGGCCGAACAGCGGCTCCCCGCACAGCACCCTCATCACGAAGGCCACCACGTAGCCCGCCGCCGCCCCGTAGCCGTTGGACGTCCTGACGAAGAGGACGCAGACCAGCTGCGGGAGCATTATGGTGTAGGTCAGGTCCGAGCTGAGGATCCAGAAAGACAGCACGCCACTGTCCAGGTAGGTGAGGGAGGTCCCGGCAACACCCACCACCAGTATGCAGATGCGGATGACCCACTGGAGCTCCCTGTCGGAGACCTTTAAGACAAAAAGCGGCATAGAAAGGAAATTTCTAATTCAATTCAATTTTATTTATATAGCGCCACATCACAACAACAGTTGTCTCACAGCGCTTTCCAAACAGAGCAGGTCAGACCCTACTCCGAAGTTAATTACAGAAACCCAACAATTCCCACCATGAGCAAGCACTAGGCGACACAGGCAAGGAAAAACTTCATTTTAACAGGCAGAAACCTCGAGCAGAACCATGGCTCAGGGTGGGCGGCCATCTGCCTCGGCCGGAATTGAATTGAACCTTTAAGACAAAAAGCGGCATAGAAAGGACATTTCTAATCTATGAGACGGCCTCCCGGACGGCTTTATTTTCTTTTTTTCTTTTTCACCTGACGTCTGACGGTGTTGTAAATGTTGGTGGTGAAGATGGAGGTGGCCGCCAGCAGGCAGGAGTCGGTGGAAGACATGGCAGCTCCCGCTATGGCGCCCATGCCCACGACAAAAACGGCAGTTGGCGTGAGATGCAGGAGGACGATGGGTAGCACCATGGCCGCCTCCCCACGCTCATAAGGGGAGGGCGACCCGTAAGAGGTCAGGTTCCAATCTGGAGGAAGCGGAATTATACCCAGGTGAGAAGCCGAATCTCGACAATTGTCGAAACAAAAAACTCCCACCGCTTGGACAGAATACCTGTGGAGGCTGCGACGGCACCGATCAGCACCGGAGGAATCCCCAGGACGATGACCAGGCCGGCCGCTATGAAACACATCATCCTGGCTGTGGAGGTGGAGGACGAGGAAAGGGTCCTTTGGTGGAAGTCCTGAAATGCCAAATTTCCAATGCTCTGGGAAGACGGATGAAGCCAAGAATGACATTAAGAGTGGCGTTCGATCCGAGCTTCAACATCCCTCTCAGGCCCTTCCCCTCGGTCAGACCCTTCCCCTCGGTCTCGTGCTCGTTTGCCATGGTTTTAAATTGCTGTAGACCTGCAATAACCTCAAGAACTGAGTAGATTAGAGAAGATTCAACTGTACTGTCACAACACACATACAGATACAGAGAAATCAAATGCAGCTAGAATCTAACCAGAAGAGCAATGTGTGTGAAAATGGTGTGCTCTATTGATGTTTGTTATACCGTATGGGTAGTATTTGTAGATTAAGTGTGTATTCGCTTGTCCAGGTCATTATGTTGTTTATGCTTTTATCCAAAGCGACTTACAAAGTACACACAATGTTACAGTTATCTTCAATCTGACAATAAGCTCTCTAGAGGAAAATCCTTAGTCAGTCAGTGGTGACAGCAAAGAGAGAGGGAAGCACAGAAAGATTGGTAGAGGGGGTATAGAGTTAGGATAGGCGATGCTTTTTGAAGAGGTGGGTCTTTAGGAGTTTCCTGAAGATAGACAGGGTGCTGTTCTTCTAGCACCTGGTAGTTCATTCCACCATCTTGAAACAGCAAATGAATACAGTCTGGATTGTCTTAAGCGTGGAGTAGGCACTGTTAGACCACAACCCACTGATGACCGGAGTGACCCAGCTGTGACACAAGCCTTTGCAAGAGGGTTCCAGTAGACGGGAGCCGTACCCTTCAGCACTTTGTAGGCTGGCATCAGGGACTAGGATTTGATGCGGCCTGGAGTAACCAGTGAAGCTCAGTGAACAGAGGGGTGACGTGAGACTTTTTTTAGGGCTGATTGAAGACCAGACGCGCCGCCGCATTCCGGATCATTTGTAGCGGTTGTAACGAGTTCCTTTCGGAAACATTCCAGACTCCTTTTAGATAGACGGTATCTTAACCCCTTTCCCTTTCCCCCTCTTCCCATTTTTTTACCATGGCGAGGAAATTATCGACCCATCTCCACACGTTGTGGGCCTCCAGCCGGCCCAGTCATGGCGCCCGGCGCGTGTGGTTGAACGCCGTCCGGCTGAAGTCGGCGTAGACGTCGCTTGCCAGGACGAAGGGAGCGCACAGCCACTAGGGGACGGCGAGAGAGGCATGAACCAGAAGGCCCTAACGACGCCTCGGCGGGCCTCCTAGTTAACCGGCGGTGTGGGACTCACCAAGCTACAAAACACCAGAGATAACTGGATGACATCAGTAAAGGCAACCGAATAGAGACCTCCCAGAACGGTGTAGGCGATGGCCACAGCGGCAGAGATCCAGATGCAGAGGCTCAGCGGCAGGTCCGAAAAGATAGAAACGGTCACTCCTGGCAGGGACACACACACAGTCTTTAGTAATGGACACACCCGTATCTGTTTGGCATTGATGTAACCCTTCAGGAGAGAGAGGCTTTTGCGTTACCCAAAGAAATCAGCGTGACGGGCACCCACAAGACCTCACTGATGAACGGGACAATGGCGAGAAGGCTGGTCAGCGTTTTCCCGTACTTCCTCTGAAACGGGTCCATCATGGTGATGTATTTTTTGTCACGCATGGGCTGGGCAAAGAACAGGCCACCTTTTTTTTTTTTTTTTTAAAGGTTGAGACGAGACGCACTGGGTGAAATCACTTTCGGGCTTCCGTGGCCCGGCCGTTGTGTCCCCCCCCCCCCCCCCCCCCCGGGTCACGTTCAACGTTCTTGTAAAATCTAAGTAACAACTTGTGTTGAAAAAATGTCATCCTTGAGCATTCTGTTACATGTTACGAGCTTATCTCGTACTGGAAAATCCCCATCTGTGCTACTGCCGGACTCCCGGAGTAACAATTTGAGCCACTTTGACAATTGTTTTTCTGTTTTTGTTTTTAATTTCACCTATATAAACAAAACACAAACAAAATAGTGCAACAGTTTAAATGAAAATAAGAAATTTTACTTGAAAGAAGAAGAAAAAAACTAAAATCATGCAACTTGGAATGTTATTTGAAAGGATTAAATGTTCCCCTTGTTTCCAGATCTTACCCACGATGAACGAAACCGACATCTGTAGAGGGATAAGAGCCCAAACTAGTCCCTTCGTGGGGTCGTAAACGGTCTCGGCTATGCCAATGATGAAGGCGCCTCCAACCCATGTGGCTGCGACGGCAGAAACGCAGAAAAAAAGAGCTGACCTCGGCCTGTTCCTGACCCTCGGCGTACTCCATCCCGGTATATCGACGGGTCTCACCTGTCATCGTGAAGACCCCCACGGCCAGCGTGACCCTCCGATTGGCCAGGAAAGACACTTCCATCTGCCCGCCGAGGGCGTTTTTCTCCATCCTCTTGGATTTCACCGACGCCCAAATGCCAATGGCCAACACCAGTAGGTAGAAGACGACCATGGTGATCAGCCCCGGGACGTGGAGGGCCATGGTGGGGCGCGTGGAGAGGGAGACGTTTGAGGGTCCTTGGCTTTCTTCTCCCGGAGTCAGTGAGCCTCCAGGTGCACGCGACGCAAAAGCATCGAGCTGCCGTTCGTCCCCGTCCAGATAAACGGCTCCCGAGGGAGGCCCAGAGTCAGATGTGGGAAGACACTGTTGTTGGCTTTTCTTTTTTTTTCTCCCCTCAAATAAGCAAATGGCAAACAGGAGTGGAAAGTTTTTAGAAACCACCCACGTAAGCATTTGCTGTCAGTTTAGGTAGAAATAGTTCAATGATATGCTGATAATGTCTGCAAAAAGGTCCCCTCACTAGGTCGTTTTTAACACATATCCTAGTTTTATCACTCTGAAGATAAAAGAAAAAGGGAGAAATGATAGTGAAATGATCCTTTTGCATCATTTCAGGGGAAACCAAATAGATTTGAGCCTCTAAAGGGGAAAAAAAATGCTGAGTCATTGCAAATTGCAACATGCAGGTGCACTGTTATGAAGGTCACCCATTGGTTATTTAATATCTGACTAGCTTTCAAAAGCGAATAGCAAGGCTGGGCTATGTATCCAACGAGAAGAGTGGGACCAAAGCAACAGGGATGACTCACACCCCCCACTCGGATTTTATTTGTTTATCTGGAAGCGATGACTTTATATGAGGGACAAATTTGAAATGTTTATACCCACGGGGAGGGCGGCTTATCAAGTTTGAGACGCTTAGTTAGAACATTATTTATGTTTTTGTGTCTCTAAACACCATTGGCCTGCTTCTTGACTACATCTACCCTAACCCATCTAAACCATGTTTTCCCCATTTACGTTTGTCCTAGAAGAACTTTGGTACAAAGAGAACCCGGATATGATACGACCATTGAGTCCTGTGACTTCAGAACCAGCCCAGATCATCAGTCCTCCGCCACCGTGCTTGACAGTTGGTAGGTTAAGCCGTTTTTGGTGGGGGTTTTTTTATAAGCCTTCTTTTCCGACTGCCCCCTCTGAACAAGCTGTGCTTCTATAGTATTTTTTTTCTGTTCAGTTTTAACATTTAATGTGCATCATGCTGCCTTCTGTTGTGATGTCAAACAAATATATTTAAGCTCTCATTTGTTCCTGCCGCCATTGGCATTTTTAGTAGTTCAATCTTTTTTTTGTTTTGTTGTGTTTTTTGTCTCAAATACTGAAGTGTTCCTAAACATTGTATGGGAGTGTCGCTAGGCTGAAAAGGGGGGTGGTAAGCTTGTTTATCCATACACGACATGAGATGTAGCCCATGCATCTTTCCATTGTAATTTCTGTCGGTTTTGCTAACTTTTCCTGGAAGTTCACTTCCGAGAAGGGAAAAAAGGAATTATAGACTCTTAAAGATGCATATATGGACTTATTAACTTGCCTTTGTGGATGGGCAGCAACAGTAAAGATGATTGCTGATGTCTTTTGTGGTTTCACATTGTGTGAATTGACACCCAAATGTTTAAGAACAACCAATAGAACAATAAATCTCTGCTTTTATATAGCTGCTCTCACTGGCTGATAATGATCGATAAGTCCAGTCTATTCCATTGGAAACATGGTGGCTTTTTTGAGGGCAAAAAGTCATTAAATCATATTAACAATTACAGACAGTCAACCAGGACAAACTAACTCATAAGCAGTTTTATTCGATTATTATCACACATCCATTTTTCTACACGACCGGGTTTCCTTCAATGTCAGTGCATTTCATAGGTCAGCAAGACAACCAGAAGATTTCAAAAACTAAGAGAATGTCCAAAACCAAGAAGGAATGCGCTCGGCCAACTCCTGTCGACGTCAAGCAATGATTGTTTGTTTGAAAAAAACAAACAAACCCCAAAAAAATATATACTGAAGAAATCAAACACACAAAAACTAAACGTACACCGTTGCATCTGTCAGGTCAAAAGATTAAAAATGCCGTGCTCCTTTGAGGTGGGGGGGGGGAGAGGTGCGCACAGAAAGAGTTGCATAAGGCACCGAGACCGACGTGGAGTTAGCTTATCGATGGCGGGGAGGAATTAACCGTTTCCGGCGCGATGATGAAGGGAATGGTTTCAAAACACTTGAAAAGAAAAAGCTACAAAAATACCAGCAATTAAAGCGCGTGACCAGGTATCAGCCAGACAAGCATGGGTGGAACACACACAAAAAAAGAAAAAAAGAAAAGAGAAAATTTGGTTAAAAGCTTTCCAAAACGATTTTTCCATATCTTTGCGAGGCTCACTGGAATTTAGCCAATAGGATTTGGTTATTTGCAGCTAGTCTACGGTGTGCTGTGCCAGCAGTGTGACGGTATACGATATAATCCTCTTTAAAAGCATTCAACAGCAGTTGCATGACAATTTAGAGCTGAATAGCTTTGTGTAAAGTACAGTATTTGTGAGTATGCTGTGGCAACAGGATGCAGGGTCAAAAGAAAAGAGAATACTGCCTGGTTAAAGTATGATTTAAAAAAAAAAAAAAAGAGGCTTAATAAGCACTTATAAGCAGAGCACAAAGATGCATTAAGTGATTTCTACACACTGTAATACATAAAGACGAAGCGTAAAGTGTTTCCTACTGGTGCGCAGTTTTGCTCGTGGCTGCGTTAAGGTGCATTAGAAATCATCTATTGCACGTGGGGCCGCTTGGAAATGTTGCTGTGCGCGGGCTCTGAAGCCAAATAGCCCCCGACGATTTCTATCAAATGTCACAGCGCACGCCGCTTCTGACAGCAGATTGGAGGGGAAGTTATTTCCTGATGTCGGACAAAATCTTGGACATAAAAAAAGTCACTGGGAAAAATTCAAGGGGGAAAACCTAATTTGTTGGGAAGAAAGTGGATAAGTTTCCACAATTAAAGTGACATATTTGTGAAGCAATAACAACCGATTTACGAGACAAAAACCCTTGAGGGATTTCCCTCAAATTCACCCAATTACTTCCAAAGAAAATTAGGCAAAATATCTTTTAAAAGAATACACTTAAATTTATTAGAAACTAAAGCTGTTGTTTTGGATCCTAAATGTCTTTAACCGTCTCGTGGGCCGCTTTAATGCGACCTCCGGCTTATTCCGAACGTGGGATGAGCTGTTGAATCTTTCACTGCCCAGATCCAAAATACCTGAACCCTCAATTCTGTCTGGACGCGTGGGAAGCTGGTGGAAAAACACATCCCAAAACAATCTCACGGCCTTATCTATGCAGCAACTTGGGAGTTTTCTTTCTGATTTTTTTTTTTTTTTTTTTTTTTGGGAGATGAAACTCCTGAGAAGTCACGTCAGCCACGCTTGGGGAGCTTGGGGGAGGAAAATTAATCGAGCAACAACCGGAACTAAGGGCGATGTCCATGAGGATGTCTTAAGGCTGTGAGTACCATCACCTGTACAAGAATACGTTTTCAAAAAAGAAAAGAAAAAAACAAAAGTAAGAAGTACAAAAAAACAAAAACAAAAAAGTACTTTGAGGCTTAGTGAACATCATAAGTGAGAAACGCCTTCGCTCCAAATTCTCCTCGTGTTGCGTTCAGTGCAGGCCATGCTTTTCATGTCATTACTGTCGGCGGCGTGCGTGTGCTGGACACACGCCCGCGCACCTATTCCTGAATCTACAACATCCAAAGTAGAAAGACGAGGGGGGGGGGCGGGGGCGGAGACTAGGTCTTGAGGGTGGAGTTTTTCCATAGCGGTTTGTGATAAATCCAGCCTTCACCCTGGGGGGAGGGAAGGAGAACGAGACGATTGGTTTTCAGATCTTATTTGACTGTTATTTCTGACTAGCTGAGATCGTTTCCGGCCGCCTCACCTCTTTGTCAAAGTATCTGGTCCTCCAGGGGGTTTCCGTCTCGGCGCGGTGCCTCTCCTCCGTCCGCTGCCTCTCCTCCAGGATCCTCTTGTGTTCGGTGGCCTTTTCGATGTCTTTCTGCCGCAGGGCCTCGGTCACGTGCTTCCAAAGGCGTCTGTGAAGAAGAAAAAGAACGAGATGAACATGAAAAGCCTGCTACGTTCTGAATTTCAAAATATATTATTACCAGGCTTGGCACATTGGGCATATTATTATCTCAGTTATGTAAACAACTGAGGGCAGTTGGGCTCTTTTTTTTTGTTTTAAAATGGGGGATATCATGAATAATGGGATTAATAATGTTGTTAATGCAGTATAAGTGCTGCCGTATAAGTGCTGATGCGTACAAAGTGTATGCATCAGTGTCTAAAAAATTGACACGGCGTTGGTTTTTCGGCTCCTCTGACCTGGACTCGGTCGGTCCTTGCTTCTCCACGGGCCGGACCAGCTTCCTGGTGACGGGCAGCTTGGTGACGTCCACCACCCGGGTCTCTCCGCTGGTGTAGCTGAACTCCAGCGCGCCGTTCCACTCGCCCTGCACGCGGCACACCACCGCGTTTGTGGAGTTTTGCTTCACCTCCGCCGTGACTCTGCGTAAAAACAAACAAACAAGGAACCCGATGTAACCCCGCTAGATGGGAGCTTCGCTTTGCGAAACGGAATCTTAAAGGAGGACGCACTTGTGCAGCTTGCCGCCGTAAAAGGGCTTGGTCTGGAACGTGATGACGGCCGAGTAGCCCGACTTGGCGCAGCTGATGTTGACCTTACCGCCCAGCTCCACCCAGGGTACGGTGAGGATGGAGCGGGCGTAGGCGCAGGGCAGCGTGAAGCTGTACTCTTCGTCGTGCTCGAGCAGATGCAAACAACCTGAGGGGAAAGAAAACAAAAAGAGTCACTACAAAGATCTTTTTGTTGGTGGTAAATGCCCCGTTAGTCTTCTGGAGATCCTGTAAATTCTATCCGAGTGGTTCCCTACAACCCCTTGATGAAGGTTCTAAACCTCATCTATGATACCTTTTCCCCCCTGGAGATCCCAAAGCTCACCTTCTCCTATCATGGAGACGCCGATGGACATCCCCATGAACTTGCTCTTGGTCCACACGTGTGTGTTCACGCACATCTTCCTCTCCGGGCACTCGGCGTAGAAACCGGACACGGGCGGGTGGTGGGACACCTGCTCGGCCACGAAGCGCACCTGGTAGGGCTCCGGGCCAGTGGCGGCCGCCTCCGTCGCCGGGGGCTCGGGGCTCCCCGGCGACGCCTCCCCGCCGCCCTCGGCTCTCCGGGGCACCTTCCAGGAGCAGTGGAAGGTCTCGCCGATGATGGGGTTGTAGGGCTTCTTGGCGATGGCGCCCTTGCGGCCCTCGTGGAAGGAGGTGAGGTAGTACTCCACGAAGCGGACCATGCGCTCCTCCGGGCTGCCGCCGTCGGTTATGGCCACAAAGAGGTCCGGGTGGGATATGAAGTCGGCGTACATCTCCAGCAGGGAGCGCTTTTCCAAGATGAAGGTGGGAAGGACCACCTGGACGGACAAGCGGAAAAAGAGAAAACCAATCCTCAAGTGGATATCGAACTCATTTAGAATGTTTGGTCAGCGTCTTTCCAGGGAAACTGAATCGGGCTCACATCACGGCGTGCCGTCAACGCGTCCAGTGACACTGAGGCGCACCGGACGCGACCCTGTGGTCAGCGTCTACTAGATCGCCATCTGAGGTAAGCGCCCTTCGTCCATCTGATAACCGATAAAACAGAAACCCAAGAGCAGGATAGGATGTCTGTCCAAATTGGCGTGCTGGACTTGCGATTCCAAACCAAGACGTGCTCGTGTTAGTCCCAAGGTCAACCAAAAAAAAAAAAAAAAAAAAAAACCCTACTATTGGTGACAAATACTAACGACGACACCGCTCTTATGTGCTTGACCTCCTTTAAAGATTGTATTTACGTGGTACTTTACAAGTACTTAACACCTAACTTGTTGCTGCGGAAGTTATTTTATCAACAATGAGTTGGCTCATCATTTCTATGGAGAATTTTTATGTTAACCGGTCTGACATCCTCATTGGCTGCTTATGCTATCTTTTTTTTTTAACGCTCTTGTTCATATTTAATCCATAATATGTTCTTTTAATGACTGCTAAAAGAGTGATATAAATTCCCTCTGACTCTTACAATATTAAACGGCAAATCTATTGTCTGATCTAAATGTCTGACCATTACTCCAATGACGTGTTTATGATTGCTGAATATTCCTTCGTTGCATATTAAAACAATTCAGATATATTTTAAACATCCATTATCATCCCCACTTTTAATCTGATGAGCCCAAAAAGAAATAAGCACAAGTTTGACCCTTTCAGGGGACAAATAAAGACTTGAACAGAGAAAATTGAATATTTATGGATCGTCAACTGCTGCAACCTAACCTTTTCCTCACATCAGAGTTACAGGTGAAGGTTGCTTTTGACATAGCAACATTTATCAAACATGCAGGAAAGTGTTGGTGGCTGATTTGGGGGGGGGGTTCTTTTGCTGTCCGGCAGCACATGGAACTCGACCTACCCGTGTGAGGTCCATGCCCAGCTTCAGCTGCGACAACAGGTGTAGGATGACACTGCGCTCCTCCTCCACAGCTCCCAGGTCTTCCTCCTTGTCGGAGAAGGCGTCCTCCTCCTCATCCTCGCCGTCTATGTCCTCCTGTTCCTGAGAGGGGCCAAAGTAGAGGAGGTTTGTATGATGAAGTCAGTTGAAAGAGTTGTGACATGAAAAGGCTTGCTGGTTCTCTCTTCTTACCCCGGAGAAGCTGCAGGACTCGGGACTGCTGAGCTCCAGCCGGCCCCCGTCCAGCGGGCCCTCCCCCGCCGCGAAGCTGCCCAGAGAGCTGCTGCCGTTCTTCAGGAGGTCGGGCACTTTGGGCTCCAGCCACTCGATGGTGGGTCCTGCGGGGGATTCCGGGGAGGAGTCGGCGGCTGAGTTGGAGGTACTCATGGCATTACCCCGCCCCCCCGCCCTCCCTCCAGAGCACCCCCCCTGACACTTCACAGCTGCGTGCACGCCCGTGGCCCTGCGCTCGGCCCACCATTCACCGGTCAGCGCCCCGCAATCGCCCTCCCAGCCGACTATTCTGTCCGCTGCTGTTGACCAAAGAAGCGCAACTGGACACCTCCCGACCAGCAGGTATCGGAACACTCCGGCCACGCCTACAGGAAGCACCCCCACGCTCCGATTGGCCGAAAGCCCTCTCAAAGCGGCTGCGTGGGGCTTTGATGTACATTTACATTAGCGTTCGCCGCGTACGTCAGCCTGATCTGATTGGATGCCGGCGTGGCTCTGCCTCGATGAAATATACATCGCGTAATGAGATCTGTTAAAAAAAAAAGTGGGACACACAACCCCCCCCTCACCTACTCCTTTCCCTTCAAATGAAACGGAGACGATATTAGCGAATCTTCAGGCGTCACGTTGGGCCCTCTGAAACTTCAGTTTGCTACATGTCCGTCTGTGTCGGGCTAAATTAGAGCGGCGTTCCTCGAAGTGTCGCGGGTGGATATTTAACCATCTGAGATCTAATTACCTTGGAGACAGGTGCTCAGAGCGGGTACAGTTCGCTATCAATAATGCAAAATAATTCCAGTGTCCGGCCCACAGGAGCCGTTGCTCGGGTGAGGTGATGACCTGCGAGTGTTAAGTCTTAATTCTTCATTTCGAGCGGAAAAAAATAAATAAAAATAGCCGGACGCCAAGCGAAAGCGGCTAATAAAACCCACAAAAACGACAAGAACTGACCTCCAAGGGAGCTCCTTTGTCTGGCCACCTGCTGCAGGTGCAAGATGTGCAGGCACTCGTTGAGGCAGTTCATGGTGGCCATGGAGGTGGCCTTTAGCATCAGTAAATCCTGATCTAGAGGCGAAAGGCTGGGGGCTGCGGGAAGGCCTTCGATGCTCTGGATCAGGTCTTTGTGCTGACCTTGGGCCTGGCTCATCATCTGGACGAAAAAGGCAAGAATCAGTCGGTGCTTTAACAGAGGAACTCTACTTCCCAGGGTCTAACTCGCACCATGCAAAGTTTCAACTCTGCTGCATCCTGAAAGTTCACACATGGATACAAAAAAACAACAGAATTTTGCAAATAAAAGAAAACAGCCTTGAGAAATCCAATGAAAAAGTTTATTTATATGTTTAAATGTGTAAGTCACTGTTAAGCTATGGAAGTTTGAAGTCACATCTCAGCTCATAACTTTAAAGTTGATCTACTGAGCAAACTTTCTCCCTCTGTTTTCAAATACAACACATCTTAGAAGTAAGACAACAGCGCCCTCTGGTGGACGACTCTGCCCATTTCAGATTTTCTGCTCTTCTAATCTTTATCACGTCAAACCTCAATTACGCCTCCTTCTGTTGTAATAAAATGTCTAATCACGACCTTGTTCCACCTGAACAAAACGTAAGCTTCAGAGTGACGCAGTATCATACTTTTTTGGCCGTTATAGTTTAATCAAACTAAACTGTTTCCAGAACAGACTGAAATGGCAATAAAAAAGACCACACCCTATGATATCTGCCCATTATATCTGCAATATGTCTTAATTCTTTCTTTTTCAGGTGTCTTAAACCTCTCCTGGAGGAAAATGACTCGACATTCCAACCAATATCGTGCGTGTGGTCCTCTGGTGAGTGCAGCTCATGGAATTTCATGACTCTTGAGCAGTGCTGAATAGTAAATTTATGTATATATGTATGCATGCATACATACAGTATGTATCAGTTTCATCATCCCTCTATTTGTGTAAATATGTCTTTCTCTATGTACCACATACTTTTAAGGTAGCTGTAATCAATAATTTGATTCCTTGTCATCAAGGAGTGTAGCAAATGATCCTCGATGCCTCCAGTGTTTCGGCTTGTTTCAGCTCTGTTTTGAGGGGTTGAACTCCCAACCCGGCTATAGTCAAATTCCCAACTGTGCCGGACAGATCATGTTTGCATAAAAGTACCGACTTGTGTTCATTTTTTGTCGGGAATGCAGCAAACTTTTATTCCTTTAAAGCGTCATGCCCAGTTCCGAAGGGGACCGTAGACCCTGTTGGGTTCCTGTGTACCTTATTACCGCTTTATGTTTTTAGCTAATCTGATCTAATTAGCATTTCCCCCTCAGTGGCATCGATCATATCAAATCTGATCGATTTGTCAGCATGCCGTACCTCTCTGGCATCCATCAGGTGGTCGGGCAGCAGAGACCTCTTGCTGGAGTAGAGCGAGGAGCCCTTGTGGCCCTGCGGCCAGTTGAACAAGGCGGCGGGGTTTTGGCTGGGGCGCCGCACGGACATCGGCGAGCTGCCGCTGCCTTGAGACGCCATAGAGTAGCTACGGGACTTGGGTGGGGGATTACTCTGTAAAATGTAGAAAAAAAAAAGGACAGCTAGAAGGTTAATCTCTGAGCCTTGGTGTTCGCTCAGGCTTCTTATCCTAAAACTTCCTGTATCTCCTGAGTATTTACAGCAGGCCGTGGATCAATATTTAGATCAATACTAATGATCTCTTGCTTGTGCAAGAAATAAAAAGGTGGGGGTCTAGAGTCTTTAATCTTAGATTAAATTCTGAAAAAGCCCAGCTTTGGAATCCAAAGTGCGAAAACAGGAAACTGTCCAGCTTGCATCCTCTCACGTGACTCAGGAGTGTAAAACACAATCTAACTCACTAATGCCTCGGAAGTGGTCTGTCAAATAAAATAAAGCCAAATAAAGCAAAAGAAGGAGAGGGGAAGCATGGGGGCGTGGAGGGTCTCACCTTCCCCATGGCCTCTGTGTGGTGTTGCGTGCATATCTGCAGCCTGCTCACCCAGTGCTGCCTCTCTTTGGCGTCGGTGGCTGCACAAACACATTTTTTGGAAAAAGATCAAACTTAAAAACGGTCATTTTAGGATGATCTCGCTCTGCATGGTTCCACTGTGCCCCTGCCTTCACCGGCAGAGGATAATGGAAAACATCCAGATCAATAAAGACACAGAGCAAGATGGATGATGATAACAGAAGGCCTGAGTTTAAAAAAAAAAAAGAAAAAGGGGGGGGGTTTGCGGCTATAATGATGCACTTTGAGTTTGAGTGGATGTAAATCCACTTACTGCAGGCTGAGTAATGAGTCTAGTGAGTGGCTCACCCCGGAGCTTGTACTGCTCCCCGCTGATGGCGTTCACTGTGAAGGTATGCGAGTCCTCGTCGCTGGGGGAGATGACGGCCCCGGCCAGGGGCAGCATGCCCCGGGGCTTCTGGGGACGCGACTGCTCGTTGACAAAATACTCCAGCGTCCCCGCCTCGTTGTTTAAGACGAAGAACCTGGAAAGCAACAGCCACCACAACAATCTTATCGGATTCCTATCTAATCTACCTCACTTTTGGGGGAAAAATCTTGCAGAACATGGAATAAAATGGTGGCGAAACTCACCTATACTGCCACCCCGTCACCAGGTTGGTGTATTTCATCAAGTAGCCGTCAATATTCTCCATGTGATCGCTGCAGAGGAAGAAAAATATCAGGAAAAAGGAGGACGGGGTACATATGTTTGAACTGGGTTCAAACGTCTAAGAGGCAGAGGTAAAAACACACAAATCAAATCAAGGAAAAAGATTAAGACAGCTTTGTTCAAAGGGCATTCCACCCAGAGATCTGGTCATGCACTCAAGAGCAAACAATGAAACCCGACCACAAAACTGAGCATGATAAAGAAAATAACCTTTCTTCTGGTGTCTTTCAGGTAAACTTAACGCGCCTGTTAAGCAGGTCAGTGTTGGATCATTAGCAGAGTAAAATGTCACCCACCTGTACTGCCAACTTTTGGCACTTGCTCTCCCCGAGCTCGGGGTTCTATTCTGAGGGAACACATCCAGCTTCCCCTCGCTTTCCGTGATTCGTATCGCCGCCGTTTCCCCTTGCATAGTCACCAGCGGCGTAAAAACCTGCTCTTGACGTTTACTCAGCCTGGCTAGCTTGAGGGGCTAGCCCCCGCGAAGCTAGCTGAGATTTGATGGGGAGTGGACGAGCCTCTGATAAAAGTCACGGCCGGTGTCGTCGACTCATGTCTCGGACAAAAACGCGCTGCGAGACCTGCCACGGACGCCGGGGGCTGCTGACCGGCCACGGTTAGCTGAACATGTCCGGTCTGCCTGCAGCAGAGAGTCGTAGGGATAAACCCGTGTATGCTAGCTCGCCTGATATTTACTGCTTCGGAAGGGAAACTGTCACGTGACCACTACGTCACCGCGTTTCCGCGCTAGCTTAAAACGATTTCACAGTAAATGAAAAATGAATCCAAGCATTAAAAAGCTCAGACATCTGAAATACATTAAGATAAAAAAGATATGTTGTATTTAGTTTTACATACATTTATTTTCTATTAATGTTTGCAAATAAATGAAGTAAATAGAAATTTCCATCCATTCATTTTCTGAACCGCTTATTCTCAAAATTACTTATCATCCCCTTTTCTACTTCAGCCTTCATTAGTTTTTAGGATTTGGGCAAAATATGTGGGGAATTAGGCAGTGTTCGTACTTTTGTCCCAGTTTTAAGCAGGTCAGTGTTTATTACAACTTTTCAAATTTGCCTTTATGAACAACCAAACACACTTTTTACATTTACCCAGTCCCTTTATTCATCTGACAGAGAGAAAGATAAGTGAAAGATTATTCGGAAGGAGGAATGTAGATATGTGGCAGGCAAAAATTCTTAGAAGTATTTTTTATTTGATTTACTCAGTTGGAGAAAGCGTAATCAATTTGTAATCAGAATCGCATGAATAGCAAATATAATCCTTGCAGATTTACTTGGTATTGAGTAGATTAAAAATAGGTACTAAAGAGTTGAATTTCTGTTGACAAGTAAAATAATTTTAAAAAAACAACCTTCCATTTAATTGTTTTCACTGTGAACATGTGAGTTGACATGACCAAACTTTTAAAAGAGAAAATGAAAAACAATATGGTTGAAACAGCAGTTTAGCAAATAAGTCCAGGTAAAACATAATGTATGGGACACTCTTTTCTAAGTCGCTTTACTAATGTTGGGATGTTCCATATTCCTAGAACTCTACAATACAGCATTGCCTTCTGAGGAGAATGTTGCCAACGTTTTTGTTTTCTTTCTGTAAACCAAAAACAGAATGGGGAAATAAATTTATTTTGAAAATCCAAATGACCGGAAACGTAATAACTACTCGGTTCGCTTTGATATGTTGGTCGGTCACGACGAGGTAACGTGTTCGGTAGTCCCCACTGTATTTTGGGCCAACATTTATCAACACATTTAAAAATACAACATTAATTTAAATTTCAAACACGTTTCAATTAGCTTTTTTACTCCCCTTGGAATAATTTCGGCTTCCAAACCCCGAGACACTTCTGCCGTGGGCGGTAAAAATTTTAAAAAAAATTCGGTCGCGAAAATGTTCAAACGTTAGGAGACGGCGTCGCTTCCTCCTTCCTCCGGCGTCCCTTTTTATTTCCCCCTTTGAGGAGACGACCCGGGTTTGGGGGGGAGTAACCGTGGAAGGGCGGAGTGAGTCGGTCTCCAGACGTTCGCGGGGCGTATGAGGAAGTTAGCGCGGTGCTGGTGGTAGAAAAAACACACAACAGGGAGACACGGAGAGAAAAAACAACTGCTCACAAAATGCCTGCGAAGAAAGTCTGCATCGTTGGATCTGGGAACTGGTAACTTTTCCACCTATTTTGTCTTTTTTTGTATTTTCTTCCTACTATGGCATTATGTGTGTGGTCAGATTTAACTGAACGCGGATTAAGCAGATGTAAACCCATTGTGGTGTTTATCTGATAGGCCCTACTTTACCTGTATGAATCCTTCCATAGAGCTGGAGCCCTCCTCTTTTTCTTTATGAAAAACTTGTTAGAGTAAGAGTAAAACTGCACAAATGGGGTTACCTTCATGCTCTTTGCTCATTCTGCTTCTAAATTACCATTTAGACTGTGTTTTTTCATGCATTTCAATCTTTTCCGGCACTCTATTCTTATCTAAAGCTCAATGATGGACGCACTGTAAATGACAAATGTGTTATTTTTAAGTCCAGTTCATTCAGGTTTGGGTTGGGTCAGATTGAGTTGTTCTGCACGACTCCTGAGTTTACACGTGTGCGTTTTTTTCTTTTTCCAACGCATCCTACAGGGGTTCCGCCATCGCCAAGATCATCGGGCACAATGTCAAGGCCTCCAACCGCTTCGACCCCGTCGTCAACATGTGGGTGTACGAGGAGATGATAAATGGGAGGAAGCTCACCGAGATCATCAATACGGAGCACGAAAATGTGAAATACCTCGCAGGTCACAAGCTGCCCAAGAATGTGGTGAGCTTTTGGGCGTGGGTTACTTTTGTCTGTTCTCTACACACCCTGTTATTTGTGCTTAGATGATTAAACTCACTTAATCTCTTAAATCCTGCACGGTAAGGCAGCACCTGATAATTTTTTTTACAAGTTTAACTCAAACTCCGTTGTTCTTTTAGGGGTGATTGCGGGATAACTGCTGTCTGTGCTCGTTTTGATGACCTACAAACTATAAAATTAAGCAATTTGTATCAGTTGAGATAGGGGGAGTCCACCCCGGGGCAATATAATTAACATTTTTATTGCTTTCGTTGATGCAAATCGCCTGTTATCGCTTATTGCCATTTGCGACCTTTGCCGCTCTAAAAGGCAAATAAATGTAACGGAGCGAAGATTGTGCATCTCAAAGGTCCTTTGATGTTAGACAAATAAGGCAATCAGTTATGAGGGAGATGTTTAAGTCACAACCTGAAAAGATTTAGTTCAAGTTTATTTATTTTTCTCTCGCATAGACGAGCGTGTTTAGACTATTTAGTCTGGATTCCAGCGGGTCTTTTCAGGATTTAGGCAAGAGGTCTTTATTGCATGCCATTTAAGGCAGATGGCCGTCCACCCTGAGCCATGGTTCTGCTCGAGGTTTCTGCCTGTTAAAAGGACGTTTTTCCTTGCCTGTGTCGCCTAGTGCTTGCTCATGGTGGGAATTGTTGGGTTTCTGTAGTTAACTTCAGAGTAGGGTCTGACCTGCTCTGTCTGGAAAGCGCTGTGAGACAACTGTTGTTGTGATGTGGCGCTATATAAATAAAATGGAATTGAATTGAATTGAATTTAAAAATGACAAGCAATTGACTATTAGCATGATGGGCCCCCGTCTCTTCACTGAAGGCTTAAACTTTCCCACGATTTTTCCTGATGGTTTCAGAAGGTTTTCCTGACCGCTTCATTTTTAACTCCCTTTTTTTTAACTACATGAGCAACAACTTACAAATTTTACAAACCCTTTATTTGGCTCTGAGATTTGATCTCTTAGTTATCAAACTTGGGTTATGATGATTATCAGTTATATTTCTGTCCACAAGCTTTTTCCTCTTGCCCGGCATTTTGAATCTTTCCCTTTCCGGGATCGCGACTTAACATTTCGTTGCTTCACCAGGTGGCCGTCCCGGACATCACGGAAGCCGTGAAGGGAGCCAAGATCCTGGTCTTTGTGATCCCGCACCAGTTCATCAGCAAGCTTTGCGACCAAATGAAGCCTTACATAACGGAGGGAACCATCGGGATATCTCTCATCAAAGTGAGACCGGATGCGTGGCTGGTTCCATTTCCAGAGCAGAAAAAAAAAAAAGGAAAAAGGGGAAACTGCCTCCGCGTCACGAGGCAGAAGTCCGTCCCCGTCAGAGGCGCTGACGCAGCATGTTTTTGCCGTCACCCAGGGCATCGACGAGGGGCCCAGCGGGCTGAAACTCATCTCCGACATCATCCGCGAGAAGCTGGAGATCGAGGTCAGCGTCCTGATGGGGGCCAACATCGCCAGCGAGGTGGCCGACGAGAAGTTCTGTGAGACCACCATCGGTGAGAATCCGGTTTCCCGCAGGCATGTTGTGTCAATTGTGTCAATTCGGAGTTGCAATTTGTGTCCGTCAATCGAATTCAGGGGCCAAAAACGAGGCGAACGGCCTGATATTCAAAGAGCTGCTGCAGACGCCCAACTTTCGCATCACGGTCGTGCAGGAGAGTGACGTGGTGGAGCTGTGCGGCGCCCTGAAGGTGGGAAACGCCCCGCCCGGAGACGCTACCTTCACATCAAACGCGTGCCTTGACGTTTTCTTGTCTCCGGGTTTGAATTTGGCAGAACATCGTGGCGGTCGGGGCCGGCTTCTGCGACGGGCTGGACTGTGGCGACAACACCAAGGCGGCGGTCATCCGGCTGGGCCTGATGGAGATGGTGGCCTTCACCAAGCTCTTCTGCCAGGGCGCGGTCAGCTCCGTCACCTTCCTGGAGAGCTGCGGCGTGGCCGACCTCATCACCACCTGCTACGGCGGCCGCAACCGCAAGGTGGCCGAGGCCTTCGTCCGAACGTCCAAGGTGAGAGCGAGAGAGAGAAAAAAATTTTCGATGGCGTGTAATCAGTTCAAGATTCAAAAAGGTTTATCTATTCTGAGGGAAATTGCTGTGCAACACCTTGCTAAACAAGGTAAAAATAAATGCAACTTCGAGTAGTTGGCAATGAATGAAGTTTTTCCTCGTAAAAAGAAATGCAACTTCGAGTAGTTGGCAATGAATGAAGTTTTTCCTCGCCTGTGTCGCCTAGTGCTTGCCCATGGTGGGAATTGTTGGGTTTCTGTAATTAACTTCAGAGAAGGGTCTGACCTGCTCTGTTTGGAAAGCGCGGTGAGACAACTGTTGTTGTGATGTGGCGATATATAAATAAAATTGAATTGAATTGAACGATTTAAAGAGACCAGTGATAACTTATTGCCGCAATAAAGCACAACAAATCAGAAAACAGATCTTCTGACGGGGGGGGCCTTCCGTCCTGAAGGCTGTGGGCCGAGCTCAGGCTACAGCTCACATCTGACCAGCGGGCGGCCGAAGTAGAAACGGCTGAAGGGAAGCTGGACCGACGTGCACAGATGGTGCCTCCACCGGGAGTTTTGTGGCGTTTTACCATCCGTGTCCACTCAGAGACAACGAAATCGGACGGTCGCTGTTTTCGCCATTTTCTTAAATAGATAGGGTTTACCCGACTGGGTTGCCGTGGAGTCATGTGACTCTCTGGCCAGTTGGCTATCTGCCGTCAGCCTTACTCGGCCCAGATTGAACCCCAAACCGAGTTGGTGCTAAAGTGAAATGTCTCAGAGGGAATGAGACGTTGTCTATTCTGTGAACCTGAGAGTGGAGCTTCAAAGGGAAGTGGACAGACCAAACGCTGCAACGGCCTCGCTGGCGGTCCAGATGCCGGTCAAGCGTGGGACAGCGGGGGAACAGGTGGATATCTAATGTGCTTCGCTGTCTTTTTTTTTTTTTGTCTTCCCCACGCAGTCCATCACCGAACTGGAGGCGGAGATGCTGAACGGCCAGAAGCTCCAGGGCCCGCAGACCTCAGCCGAGGTGTACAGGATCCTGCAGAAGAAGGACATGGTCAACAAGTGAGTGGACAAAAGGCCTCCGGGGGCTGAAATAGCTCTCACCACCCCGCCCGGGCTCAGTTCTCTGCAAGGGGGCAGTGAGAATGTGCACAGATCAACTCATCAAGCAGCACTTCCAGATTCCAGTTGGAGTATTTTTAATAATGCACATTTTGAGTGACAAAGCACTCAGAGACGCCCTGCACACTTAATTTTTTTGTCCATTACAGCGGTGGTTCAGTGTGAGCAAGATAAAACTAAAAGACTAGTTTAAAAAAAACGTCTTAAGAGGACTTAAAGATAGCCATTAGGACCGCAAACTTGTAAAGATCTGTTTCTTTACCGTTCTGCTCAGTTCGTGACCGATTTGGCCTGGTTGCTTCTTTTTCCATTTTTCCTCTGTCAAATGGGCAAAATTGGATGAAGAAAAGAAAAGATGAACCATACTGAGCATCGAAGAACTAGGCCTCTGCAAATCCAATCCACCGTTTTTATTTCTGTTTTATTTCTATTGACCAATATATGAAAGTTAACAAATTCGGAAAGTTGGATTCAATGTTTTTCAATCTATGGAATGCAGTGACGACCAATCATTGACGCATGTTTGAAATGCGTTAAAAAATGAAAATTTTTCTTCTCAAGCCATGACGAGCGTAGACAATAAAGGATTAGTAAAGTTTTGGGTTTTGGAGCCAAAGAATCATGACACCGTCTGTTCTGTGCCATATCGAGCACACGACTCACAGTAGAATAAACGGCCCAACTCTCCCGTCTCTCGTCAGGTTTCCTTTGTTCGCGGCCGTCTACCTGATCTGCTTCGAAGGCAAAGGGGTGAAGGAGTTCATCACCTGTCTGCAGAACCACCCAGAGCACATGTGACCCCACCGGTCGCCGCGCAATCCCGGACCAACGCTACCACACGAGGGTTAAAAAAAAAAAGAAAATCGTCAGAGAGAAACCCACGAATAAGAAAAAAACAATAACAACCTATGACACTTATTTATTTGTGGTATATCATAATGTCTTGAAGTATATGCAGTATGTATTTCTTATGTTTTTTTTAAGGATTTTACGGGCATGTCTTTATAAAGTTATCAAGCCAGAAGAATCTGATTTAAAAAAAACTAACAAAACAAAACATGGAAAAACCACTCGACTTGTATTTTTGCCAAAAGTGTCCTATTTTTTTTGTTGACTTTTATATCACTTCGTGATGTTGACGTGTACGATCAGATCGTTGCCCCTTTGTGGTTTTATTATTTTTTTTCTTATTTTTCATCTCTTTGTTTTGTGGAGATGTTTCCCAATAAAAAACCATTACGAACGAAACAGACTCGTGTGGTCATTGCGGGCTCCGGCCACCAGAGGGCGCCCCAGGGAAGCCGGTGACCAGCAGAGGAAGAAGCCCGGGGCCCCCGAAGAACAAACGGGCTCCTTGTGTCCAGGTCACACTGCCGAAACGTCTGATATCCCCCCCCAAACACACACACATACACACACACCACCACGTGTTTCTCATCTTCTCTCCGCGGTTTGCGCAGCTATTTTTGGGTAAATTGTCTCTGAAAATCTGCACGTCGAAACGCTGATTTTTTAGGGATGAAAGAAAAGGAACGCTATCTCTTCAGACTTGCAGAAAGCTTCGGATCTAGATAAGATGGGATGAAAATGTTTAGAGAAGCAGAATCCTGGTGGTTTCAGCCAACGTGGCCCATCTAACGTGCCCATTTAAAAAAAAAAAAAAAAACGTTTAAACTCCCGCCACTAACGAGACTAACGACGGAGGCCCCCCATGAAGGTGAGTAAGAGGGAACTTTGAAATGTCATGAACCACCTAATAATGTCCACATTTAGGCATGAGTAGGCAAAAAAAAAGTTGATATTCAACTGCATAAACTCCTTGTTCTTGGATTTGTTGTTGAAATTGTGATAATTTTCTCTTCTAAAGGCTTGCATGAGCCCACAAAAAGTGAGTTGTCTCTTGAAAGAAATGGAACAAACCAAGAACTAATTCACATTCATGTATTTAGGGGAAAGTTCACCAAACCTGGGCACCACGGCCTGTGATCTGCCATCTGGAGGAAGCTGAGGACCACCTTTTGGAAGCTGTGAGTGGAACAGTTGACCAGAGTTTTTTTTGGTTGCAAAACCCCCCCAAATTCGTCCAGGCACCTGGGCTAATTTTTCCCAAATTGTCTCCCTGTGTGCAGCCTTGCCAGGCCTCCGGGTCACTTGCTGTCCAGATCCCAGGCCATCAGAGATACCGGCCAGGAGCCTGAGCCAGGGGGAAGCAGAGGGGCACCGCAGTACGTCGGGGTAAATGTCTCGTACGGGGTTCCCACGGGAACCCCTCACCGGCCAGCAGCAACTGTCATCGGCCGGTTTTTCAGCCCTCTTGGTGATCTGACACAGGCCCAGATCTTCCGTTTCAAAGCGAGGGCTCACCTTCGGATGGGACCCCGGCTTGAAAGAGGAGCTTAGTCGCCACGGTAACGTGTCTCTTTCACACGCGTCTGGGCCTTCCTGAGCTGAGAGGCCCCCGGCACAGTTTTTGTAACATCGCATTTCCTCTAAATTACATTTTAGAATCATTGGTGAGTTGAGGATGCTGGTTTTTAGAGTTTTGCAACATGAACATCCCTCCATTGTTGTTAAATACAATATGGAGCCTGTGGTTGTTTGATTGTCCTCTTCATGGTGCTCCATACATTTTAATTAGGAGATAGATGCAAACTACACGCAGGACTTAGTTTGAGACTCTTTTTTTCTTCTTCTGTGGACTTGAGTGAGGATTTTCAGAAACGTGGAAAATGAAGCATTGACTCTTTTTAATGGAAAGACAAAGCCTTTTTGATGAGATCTCTTTTTATACCTAATTATGACACCCTCACCTGTTCATTTTCAAGTTTTGTTGCAGTGTAGTTTGTCAGCAGAGTTGCCGAAAGAGTGTTTTTCCCATTTCAATGATTTAAAAAACAAAACAATAGGCATATTGTAAACATTTACATGTTTACAAGGATTAGAGAATTGCAAATATGCAAAAACCAGAGACACGTCTGATTGGCGTCGTAGCCTCGACAAGGAGGCAGGGGTAGATCTAATCCTCATCGCAGGCTTGCTGATGAAATGTTCCTCCCTTTTAGAGCAACAAAGACACTTTTCATGGCATTCCGCATTTAATCCGAATGTGATTTATAAGCTGTAATGAGACTTGGCTGTTATTCACACCTGAGTCTGCCGCGCTTGAGCGTCTCCGTTGTAGATCAAAACTTCCCCCCTCCGGCCGTCGGCTTTTATTTTTCAATTATCTCGGCAAACCCCGAGCCAGAGCCCTTGGATTTATAGCACCCGAAGAGGTTTCACTGTGGTGCGAAACCTCACACGACGACTAATAAGTCCTGGTTTGACCCGCGGGCGGACGAGCCTCCTCGGGTTTGTTGTGTCATCACTCCGTGTCTGTGCCCGCCCCGTCGTGTTTCCATACGTCCACGCCACGTCTGTGCGGGTTCTAACGCCTAAGGGGGAGAGCCCGCCCTACATCCTCAGCTAATTATGGCACGCTGATCTTACGCATGTCAACGACGGCCAAACGGGCCCTCGTGTTCATCTTCCTAGTCAGAAAACGCCCTCACTGAAGACCACCAAAAGGGCTTAGGGACCACCCTCCCCTTTCGGTCTTGAGTCCTCGTTATGGTTTGGGTTAGGCAGATAAAAGATAGCATGAAATGAGTATTAATATTTGTCCTCTGATCTTTTTCTGTGACTAATTGCGAACATTTTTATGGTCAAAATCGCGGAAATCTCATATTTCCCGTCACAAACTGGGCTGATACATGCAACTTGCCCGTTGTCGTATTCCTGTATGTCGCCAATATAATGTTTGAATACACGTTTGTATATCCTGATTTTCCAGGGTCTGGCTGTCTTTAACCATTTCCGTTTAATGTTTGTCGGTGACATATTTAGTTTTGCAGTACTCTGCCGCCCTGAAGGGGGCGCCCTTGAGCCAACGCTTGCCCGTTGCCCGAGTCAAGCGCACCGCCGCGAGCCGTTAAATTTTGGGTTTTGCTCCGTCAGAACGGAAGAGGGTATATAGCTAAGTTTAAAAATGTCTCAAAACTGGACGTTCAGTCAAAAGGGGAAGTGGTTAACAACGGAAGGGTAACGCCAGGGTTAAAAGATACGCTGAGATACGAAACAACCAGTAGCCAATTGACTAAGCTCCTCTTTTGGGTTTATAGATTTGTAGATCGGACTCTGAAGGAGTTGGTGCCTCTCCAACCGTGAACCTGGGGTTGGGGTCAGTCCGGCCGTCCTGGTCATCGGCTCAGCTTAGTCGGCAAAAGCTCCAGGCCTCTGCTTCTTTCTGCGTTTGCCTTCTGATGAGTCGAAGGGGGTGGTGGGGGTGGGGGTTGATGAGGGAGGTGAAACCAGTGGTGCGTCTGGAGTCTGGGGAGTCGGGAAGGAGGAGAAGTTTGGCAGGAAGCCGCATACAAACACAAAGCCTGTATATCTGTGTGTGTTTGTTTGCCTCCCATCTTCTTACCTCAGGGAGAGTGGGGAAAAAGAAATTGTACAAGACAGCCATAAGATACCGCTCACCCCGCCCCCCCCTGCTCCCTCAAACCAGACATTGATTGTTAGAAACAGCCAGAGGATGAGGAGGCGAACAGAAAGGAAACAATTGGCTGTGTTTCTCTGCAATTGGTCTCCAAGGTATTGAAAAAAAAACTTCATAAGCAGGGAAAAGGCATTTTGAATAGATCTGATCAAAACCTGTGCTACCCGAGTTACTTGAATTCATCCCAACACGATTGGATCTGACTGCACAAAGAGCTGACACAGTCCAAAACGGATAGCGCTCTTTATTTTTTTTCTCGTTCCCTGTTCATCTAAATCTCCTCTCTTGTGGACTCATGGCTGCTGACACCACCACTCCCTCTGATTTGTGGCGGTTGAAATCTTTACCGTACCGCTCGCTCGCCCAGCTGCAAATGACATCGTCCTGGCCCCCCACAACAAACCACTCAAACCAGCCGCCTCTCGACTGGGGTGGCCTTTTGGGATTAGGCTTCATACGCTGGCAGACATTTGGTTTTGCAAACTAGCCCCGGGGAACCGGTTTACATCTGCAGGCTTTCACATCCAAAGATCGCATCTCCCCCCCTCCTCCTTCCTCCTCTTAAGTTTCCATATGTTGCTAGAACATCCGGACCTCCGGGGCCGTCTGGTGTTTCCATCGCTTCCGTTTTGTCGTAGTCTAGCGTTTTCAATCTCCCGCTGATAAGGGACGTCGTGGCCCGGTACAGCGGAGGGGAGCCGGACGTACAGTACGTGGACTGATTTTTACGGCGCTTCTGGAGCCGCAGCTGCAGCTAGAGGGGATCCGAAGGGATCCATCCCCGGCCGAGGAACGAGGCCAAACACGTCTAGAGGAAGACGGGGAGATGCCGAACGGGGTCTTTAGTCATTTTCCCGAAGCCTGGGGATAATCGCGTGGACTCCAACTGGAGCTCACAGGAAGACGCGCCGGTGCGCGTCAGTGGCTTAAGGGGACCGTGTTCGCGGTGGTCGCACAAAAACAGCTGTCGTTCATTGCTCCAAAAACACAATCCAGGTGTTAACATCGACATTATGCCGGAGCCATACCAGTGGGGTGTCTGGACTCTTCTCCCGGACGTCAGACCGAGACTACAAATTTTTTCCCCCTATTGGTTCGTCTTTAAGTTAGAGTTTAGACTCTCTTTTCAAGTCCCCTGTCACGCTGTTAGGTTTTAAAGTTCCCCTCTCTCACACTTTGTACTGTTTTGTTGGCAAAACCGGTTTGGTCGGAGGACCAAACACTGGGCCGAGAAAAGAGCAGGGTTTGCTTTGTGTCA